CTTCTCTCACTGTGTCTCTCTCTGTCAAATAAATAAAATCTTTAAAAAAAAAATAAAAAAAATTTAAAAAATTAAAAAAAAAAGAAAGTAAATGAGAATGGGAGTGGGATAAGGAACATTAAAAAGTGTTTAAAGTTAGTGGATTATAGTTGCCAGTATGGTCAAAAATTTGTTAACATCTAGCTACTAGAAGAAGTACATAGGAAAGGGTGATTGGAGAATGGAATGCTTGAAGTTGAGACTGGGGAGTTGCTGCTAACAACAAGGTCTAGAGAATTACTGTGGAGTAGGGGCTGAGATGGGGTGGAGGACTCAATCTTTGGAAGTTAGTTGGTGAAGAGCCTTGAGAAGCCAGGACACTGGAATAATCTACCTGAATATTGAAATCACCAAGAATTTTGGCAGGGCTAGTTAAGTAACCTTACACAAATTAGTGGGCTTGTTGGTGCCTGCATCCTTGTCTCATAAATGGGATAATCATATTTCCTACCTCAGTGGATTGTTGCAAGGATTAGATGACATAAATTTATCTTAAGTGCTTAATACAATACCTACCACATAGTAAGCACTCAATAAAACAACAATAAATTTTAAAGTTATGCAACAGTAAGAATATCTACCGCTTTTGAGAACCTTTTCCGACTACTTTTTTTGTTATTTTTTCTGAAAGTTTGCAAACACCCTGGAGGGATGGGGAGAAGAGTGGTGGTAGCCGTATAGCTGATTCTTTAAAAATTAACTTGCTATTTCATTAAAAACACATTTAACATCTTATAACAGCAATTATTCGCCGGCATTTCTTTTAACAGTTTTGTTTCTGTTATTTCTTCCTAACAGAAGTGCAAATAAAAGAGATTGAAGAAATGTTGTATCAAGAGGGCTTATCCGAAATAGCTCTGAGCAGCCCCAGTGAACAGATTACATACTTACTGGTAGAAAGAAAACACTCTTGAGGAAACTGGAAACTGGGGGCTCCAAGCCAGAGTCACAAAGACGTATGACCAGTAACCTACAGAAAGGACTTGCCCAGGTATTCTGAAATTAAATAGGTAATTGAATAAGAGGGAGGCCAGTTTTTTTGTTTGTTTCTTTAATAATTAATTCATTAAATTATTAGGAAGCCAGTTTTAATAATGCTTAAGTATATAGGTGTTCTTTTTTAAAGATTTACTTATTTATCTGAGAGAGAGAGTACGTGTCCAAGTGAGTGGGGGGAGGGGCAGAGGGAGAGAGAGAGAGAGAATCCTGAAGCAGACACCCTGCTTGGTGGGGAGCCAGATGTGGGGCTCGATCTAAGGGCCCTAAGATCCCGATCTGAACCAAAACCAAGAGCTGGCCACTCAACCGACTTTGCCAAGGCACCCCAAGTATATAGGTTTTATATTTGGATGGACTTCTCTGCCACTTGTTCTCGGTATGAACTTGAGCAAGTTAGTTAACTTTTGTGAGCCTTGATTTTCTCATCTATAAAATCTGGGTTCGACTCAGCTACTCCACAAGGTTATCATGAAAATGAAATAACATATATAAGGCTCTAGAATATTACCTCACACATTAATTAGCATTATTGTGAGGCTTTTTTTCTCCACAGAAATCTGTAATAAAAGGTGAAAGATTTATGCCATCTGAAGAGAAACCAGAGTATTAATTAGCATTATTGTTATTGTTTATTGAGAATTTCCCATGTGCCAGGCTCTGTGCCAGTGGATGTAGAAACAAAGTCAAGTTAGACATGATTTGGACTTGCAAGGAACTTATAAGCTAATGGAGGAAAGAAAAAAGCCAGTGATTAGAGTTCAGTGTGTAAAATCCCATGATAAGGGAAGGCATAGAAGGTTCAAGAAACTCAGAGAAGGGGCTGAGTCAGATGTGATGGGTCGGGGGACTGAAAAGCCTTCCAGAGAAGATACTGAGTAGTAGTTTGAAAGCTGAATACGTGTTAGCTAGATGAAGAAACTGGGAAAGGCGTTTCTGCAGAGGAAACAGTGTATATTACAGACTGGTTCGTGTGAGTGAATGCTGAGAAATGTGGCTGGAGATATTTTCAGGGACCACATCATGATGAGATTCATATACTAAGCTAAAGTTTGGACTTAGCACCCATCAATGTTCCTGAACCATACTAGAGGCATAAAAACATTTTTTTTAAAAGATTTTATTTTTCAGGGGTGCCTGGGTGGCTCAGTCATTAAGCATCTGCCTTCAGCTCAGGTCATGATCCCAGGGTCCTGGGATCGAGCCCTGCATCGGGCTCCCTGTTCAGCAGGAAACCTTCTTTTCCCTCTCCC